CGCTCTGCCACAAAGTATGATCTGAGGAAAACCAAAAGGGTATCTTCCTATGGCCGAAAGAAAACCAAGCACGGGTTCAAGGCCAACGAATTCAACGAATCAGCAGTCTACGACAGCGGAGAAAACAGCTTGGAAGCAGATTCTTGTTCAGACATAAACCACAATGTCCCGGAAGAAATCAAGAACCATCATCGGTCAAGCAGTGGCAAGGCCTCGGCCTCGGCCTCGTATAGTAAGAAACCGAACGCGAAGAAGAAGAGCAAAGGGCACGAGTGTCCGATCTGCTTCAGGGTGTTCAAGTCAGGACAAGCTTTGGGTGGACATAAGAGATCACATTTCATTGGGAACCATGGGAACAGCACAGTGGTGATCAGACAGGAAGTAAACCAGATTCACACTATGATCGATCTTAACCTTCCCGCCCCTTTTGATGAATGAAAAACAGAAACCCATCCCTCAGTTCTTGCCAGAAACACAGCCTCCATTTTCCTTCTTGTCTGTCATTTTTTTTTTGCCTTTTTGTTTTTGCTTCCGATTCAAGAATGCTTGTAGTTGGGAAGGTAAAATCAGTTTTTTTTTTTTCAAAGTAGCATCCATGCAATTAGCAAGAGTTCTAGTGAGGGAATCTCCCACCTCTGTTGGTTTGAGAGCTCCTTTCCTGTAAACGAAGTCGTGGGTTCAACACCCAGTATATGGAGATTCCCCTCCTGCCACCTTCGGGTGTTTCACATCCCACGTGTGTTGCAGGGTCGTGCGCGTGGGTCGAGATTAGTCTGGGCCTTTGGGTCTGAGATCACCCGATTATCAAAAAAAAAAAAGAGTTCTAGTGATGTAGATCGGTTTTCCTGTATTTTCGCACATCATTTCTCGTGGTTATATTGTTAGGAAAATCGTCTAAAAATCACGAACTTTAAAAAAAATTTCATATAAAATTATAAATTATGTAAACTTCTATATAAAATCACAAATGTTAACAAAATTTATAAGTTATGATCTTATATGAAAGTTATAAAATTTGTAAAGTTAATAAATATGTGGAAAATATGATAAGATTGATAAAGTTGTTGATTTTATATGAATTTTAAAAAAATGTGATTTTTAGGTGATTATCTCTATATAGTTTAGTTGATCGCAAAATGAATATGGTTTTAGTATATTGCAGTGGAATTATGTAAAGTTGTAAACTTTGGAGCATTTTGCTCCAACTATGTCAGTCCAAGAGCCTAAGTTTCTTGGTTAGAAACTTGATGAGATATTGATTCAAAACAGACGTGAAAATGTGACAAAAACTTGATAATTAAAATGTTATTAATTTGAAGTGGGGAGAAACTTTTGTTTTTATTTATTTATTATTATTTTTTTACCAAAAGGACCAAACTTTGGTCTTCTTGGCGTGGGATGGAAGTTTCCCTCTTGAATTATTTTTACATGTTTGGCAGTCAAATTCTCTCACCCTATTTATTATTCAATCCGAAAACAAAAAAAAAATAAAATTTTAAAATTTGAAATTATTTATATTCTATAAATTAATAATTAGAAGTATGCTATTTTGAACTGAATTGTTAGCTTGAAAGAACCAAAAAAAAAAATATAACCCAAAAATCAGGCAATGAATATTGGGTTTACACTTTACCCAACCCATTCTGTATTTTCTTCACAACCCTTTTACAAAAATAAAGTGTTCCTTTCACCAAAAAAAAAAACAAAGTGTTCCTTTATGTATTTATTTATTTATTGAGTTAAATGAAATATCTATATCTTAGATATAAAAACCTTCTTACAATCACATGGCTTGGAAGGATTATAGCATGTTTGGAATATATATATATTCCATTATTTATTTTCTAGTAGTAGAGTTATAGAAGTATAAAATTGGAGATATATAGACCAAGTGGATTAGAGAAGTCTATGGAGGTTGAAAATGAGTTGTGGTGGTGGGAGACAACAAGAGAGATGCAAGTGCCCAACTGAAGCTTATGGAAGACATTAATCGTATGTATGTATGTATGTATGTATGTATGTATGTATGTATGTATGTATGTATGTATGTATGTATGTATGTATGTATGTATGTATGTATGTATGTATGTATGTATGTATGTATGTATGTATGTATGTATGTATGTATGTATGTATGTATGTATGTATGTATGTATGTATGTATGTATGTATGTATGTATGTATGTATGTATGTATGTATGTATGTATGTATGTATGTATGTATTCTATGTTTCCTTTCTTATTTATCATACAATTTCTATACATATTAAACCGAATAGATGTGATTATTCATTGAAACTTTTAAAAAAATTTAAATTCATAACTACCTACTTGAATATATATTACAAACCATTTGGGTTGACCGCTCTATAAACCAACATCCATCTCAATAATTTGGAAAATATCAAATTTCCATAAATAATTACAGGATAACATAAAAGTGTATACATATATACACACAATTGATTACAAATTTACAATATATTATATCCATGTGTTGAGTGGATGATCCTATTTAACTGTTTAGAGCAATCCAGAATAGTGACATCAATAGGAATCTCCTTTCATGCAGCTTAGTTTTATGGTTTTCTTAGGGTTGGATATTTAAATCTGTTATCTGCATATTTATGGATACCCAATCTCGTGGGTATTCGAAAAATGGGTATTCGATATTCAATGAAAACGAAGACAAATATTAAAAAGAAAAAAATCCGTTTGATGAGTTCAGATACGGGATTTCAGAGATTTAAATAATGGATATCCGCAAGTACCCGTATATATTTAAAAAATACAAAATTATTCTCATATTTCTAAACTATTTATCAAAATTCCTAGAATTTTATAATATTTCTATTATCACCGTAACCCTTTCAACTTAAAAATCATTTTGTATATTTGAAAAACTTTCTAAAAATCTATATATATTCTCATATTTTAATAATTTTTAAATTTTAAATGTGTTTTTGGATCAAAATATATATATATATTTGTTAGATATTTAGTTTAAGGGAAAATGACATTTTCCTACACCGATTTTTGAAAAACTGACCTTTTCATACACCAATTTCTAATTTGACATAAAACTACAATCGAATTCAAAATTTATCAATTTACTACACAGATTGTTTAAATTAATCTTAATTAACAACATAATCGAAAACGTCGTTAAGTTTAGTGGGTTCCCGTTAATCGACCCGATGACGTGTACTGCCACGTATTTCATTTTTGCCATGTCAGCTAAATAAATCAGAAATGAAAAAAAAAAATAGAAAAAAGGTAATAAATCCCTAAATCTGATTTAGGGTTTCAGTTGTCCTATTTTTCTACAAATCGGGGAACTCTTCTCTCGACGTTGCTGTCGCCAGCGTCGTCGCCCGTTGTCGTTGTTTTCGCCCGGCGCCGTCGTCGTCGCCATCGTCGCCGTCGTCACTTCTCCCACTTGTCCGGTGTCGAAGCTCATCTCCTCCCCTTTCATCCGAGCTGAATCGAATCTCTCTCATTCGAGCTCTCTTCCATCCGAGCCGAATCGAATCTCTCATTCGAGCTCGCTCTCTCTCATTCGAGGTAATCTTCAATGTCTGTGTCTCTCTTTCGATTTGTTCATTCATCCCCTTCCATTCCATCTGTCAATGTCTTTGTCTCTGTGTGTGAGATCTCACTTTGTGTCGATTCGTTGTTGTCTAGCTCTCTCTCATTCTGTGTTATGTGTTCGAAAATTGAAGGTCTCAAACGACGATACTCTGTGTCTCATCTCCGGTGGTGTTCTGAGCAAAGAGAAATTCGGTGGTTGTTGAATCTGAGACCGTGAAATTAAAAATGGGGTAATTATAGTTATTGAATATAGTGATTACAGTATTTGTTTATTATATATGTTGTTAATATGCAGTTATATGTCTGAAACTGAAATTGTGATTGTTGATTAATATACAGTTGGAGTCAAATGAATTTCTTCATGGGAGGTGAATTGGGAGAATCAGAAGGTGGAACATGCTACTTTGGTGGGATCGAAGAAATAGGAGTAATGGTTGATCTTGATAAGGTATCATGGTTATTCTTTGAAGACTATGTTAGGTCTAAAAAAATAGTTAGTTACGTTAGGGAGTTGTGGTATAAAAAGCCCACTGAATCTTTGGATCATAGAAGGGTTGTCCATGAAGAATCTTGTGAGAGTGAAATTCATGATTTGATTCAATTTGCGAAGGAATGTGGGGAGATAGATGTTTATGTCGACCATCACTTATCACAACCGACTCCTGTGAAACTCGTTGATGTAAATGTTGTTGAGGAGGAGCCACTTGAAAGGAATATTCCTGCAGAAGAGTATAGAGAGCAGATCTATGTAGGGGATTTAGGTGGATATAACAGTAATGAAGATGATGATTTTGCTGTTGATTCTAGCTCAGAAGATGGAATTTATGCGGATGATGATTCGTTATTAGGTGACAGTTCCGATAGTCAGGATGATGATGATTTTGTTGAAGAGGTCCCGCTTGGTGTAGGTGTAGTATCTGATGTTGGTAATGCTGATAGTGGTGACGAAGCCTCTACGGATGAGTATTTGGATAGTGATGACTATATCCCCGTCACGCCAGATTGTTCAGATGAAGAACGTGAAAGGGGTGAGAAACCCAGGAAAAAACCAATGGCATTTCCGTCAGATGAGTTGTTGTTTCTTGGTAAGACATTCAATTCAAGGGATGATTTTAAAAAGGCTTTGTTGGACTATGCATTGAAGAAAAACTTCAATGTGAAATTGTCAAGATGGGAACGGGAGAAATTAAATGCTATATGTTGTACGGAAGGTTGTCCTTGGAGAGTTTATTGTTCGGTTGAAGCCCCCATTAGCAAATGGATGATAAAGATTTATAAGGACGATCACAACCATGACCCTGGGACTCATGTTAATATCCTTACCATGAGGAAAATTGCGATTCTATATGCTGATAGGTTTAGGAGAGAGCCAGATTGGAAGGCTGAAAAGATGCAGATTGCAATTCAAGAAGAGTATGGTTTGATTGTCCCACTTAGTAAGTGCTTTAAGGCTAGACGTGTTGCCTTGAAAATGGTCATGGAAGATCCCTCTGTTCAGATTGCTAAACTTTGGGAGTATGAGTTAGAATTGCATAGGTCCAACCCGAACACGACAACCGAAATTGGGACCCAAATTTCCACTCAGGGTGAGCAAGCATTCGACCGTTTCTATGTTAGTTTTGAAGCACTACGTGAATCATGGAAAAACCATTGTCGACCAGTGATTGGTTTAGATGGATGTTTTCTGAAGTGGGATATGAAAGGAGAACTTTTAGCTGCTGTTGGTAGGGATGCAAACAACGGTATGTATCCAATTGCATGGGCTGTTGTTCGTGTGGAAGATACTAATACGTGGAATTGGTTCATCAGAAAATTGAGATTAGACTTGGGATTGGGTGATGGACATAACCTGACAATATTGTTTGCTAACTTGCTCTATTTTTCTACTAATATGATTTCTCTTTGCAGATCACTTGGACATCAGTCTCATGGAATCTGATGGTGTGTTTCTAGTGCAATTTTTTGTAACAAAGATGTTTAGTTAACATCCAAACAACGACATTTACATTATGTCAAGAACATCTAAAGTCTTTTTTTGTAACATGGATGTTTAGTTAACATCCAAACTAATGTTGACTTGAACCTATGGTTGTTATGAGTGCTTGTGTTTTTGGATATGTAACGTGGATATTTCGTCTCTTACACTTCATTCTGAACTATATTTTTCTGAACAAAATAATTATTTTCGTCATCCATACATATCATAATGCATCGTATTTATTCAAGATTAATCAAAATAATACCATAATAACATTACCCACAATATCATTCATCCATTTAAACATATCCGATACATAACGCAATGTTCAACATAAAATAGATCATACATGTCCAAAACATCAACCACAACATAATACAACCTTTAAATACGAATAATAACGTAATAATACAGACATAACACAACTAAAACCACGATGCCGAACAACATTTTATATACAATTCCTTTCAATAGCTCCATTTCGGCCTTCAATTTATCCGCGACATGAAGGATGTTTTGATTTTTGATACGTATGTCCTCAATTTCTTCGCATATTGCTTCATCCGCCCATTTGAATACGTGTCCTTGATTTCCCTAAAAAAACCAAGTACATAACTGCATCAGTTATCAACACTCTACATCAACATTGATCTGTAGAATTACACATATACCCATACCTGTGTTGCACATCGAAAAAAAACTCTGCCGGGATTAGCTTCAGTTTTAGATGTCAACCTCATAATAGATGCTCCGCATTCACATAGCTGTGGAAAACCTTTTTTTGGAATTGGTTCGGCTTTCTTCCAAATTGATCTTCGACTCGATTTTGAAGCTCCATCTGATATATAACTCATCTACTATGCGAGTTCATTAAAGCTCAATTAAATTTCCAAAATCTCAAAAACTATGACGTTTAACAACAACCACCCTACGATCTAATCAAACATCAACCACAAATGAAACACTTTCATACGAACATCAACCACAATACATACACGTTCAGAGAGAGAACAAAACAAACGTCGGGTTCTACTAAAGCATTAACATAAACAGAGAGAGAACCTTCGAACCTCCGATAGAGAGAGCCAAGGAATCACCGCTGTCACAAAAAGCGAAAGCACCGAGAACCTTCGAGCCTCCGTTTGAGAGAGCCAAGGAATCACCGCTGTCACGAAGAGCGAAAGCACCACCGATAGACAAGACCGAGAAAGAAGGGTGTCAAGACGGTGGGCGACGGTGACAGAGGAGTGGGCTTCCACCAGATCGCGTCGAAAAGAGAGAGAGACCGAATGAGAGAGACAGAATGAGAAACCCTAGATCTGCGATTGGGGATTTTATTTATCCAGATTTTTGTTTTTTTTTTCAATTGTGATGTGTTAGCTGACATGACAAAATGAAATACGTGGCAGTACACGTCATCGGGTCGATTAACGGAAACCCACTAAACTTAACGTCGTTTTCGATTATGTTGTTAATTAAGATTAATTTAAATAATCTGTGTAGTAAATTGATAAATTTTGAATTCAATTGTAGTTTTATGTCAAATTAGAAATTGGTGTATGAAAAGGTCAGTTTTGCAAAAATCGGTGTAGGAAAATGTTGTATATGTTGAGATATACCGGATCTTGAAGAATATTACGAGATATATCGTATAATGAAGATCTTATCAAATCCGGAAAATATATATTTAGGAATATTTATTATTATGTGTACTTTACTTATTTAAATGTAAGACTATCATCTATTTATATGTTATTTTGACTATCAATAAAGATTATTCCGCAAATTTCTTCATGGTATCAGTGCTTCTGGTTCTTTTCTAGTTTGTTGTTCTTTTTATAAAAATGATGATCGACAATGAGAGTGAAGATGAAGATGATGATATACTGATCCAGTGGTAATATCATTTCGAGTTTTTTTTTATTAAGAATAAGAGAGTCATTTTATTTTTATTTTTTTTATTTTCTCTCATAATACCACATGTTTCTAAAGATTATTCGCTTAACCGCCAATCATCTTATTCTTGCCAAAAACTTTGTTGTCATTAAACGTTTTCGCGTAGTTGCCTTTCAATCTCGGATGAATCAGAGTTATTCTCGAGACTTCTTTCTGCACCGCGATTGTCGTCCCTTTTTTTGTTATCATCAAACGATTCTTTTGTGCGTGGTGCCAAAGTTGCAGCGCAGTCGTTTGTTTGATTTTTTTTAGTTATGATTGACACAAGTTTGCAAGGTGATGTGATTCAAGCGGCATGCGTTTGATCATCTTTTCAGCAAGTTGGGCGTTTCATGATCTTCCACGCTCCAACTTGAAGGGGGATGTTGAGATATACCGGATCTTGAAAAATATTACGAGATATATCGTATAATGGAGATCTTATCAAATCCGGAAAATATATATTTAGGAATATTTATTATTATGTGTACTTTACTTATTTAAATGTAAGACTATCATCTATTTATATGTTATTTTGATTATCAATAAAGATTATTCCGCAAATTTCTTCAGTATATATCGGTATCCGTCTTTTAGTCGCGAATACTCTTTAGACGGATATATGGACGGATATATGGATGTTATGAGACAAAGATAGAAATAATATTTTTATAAAAATCAAGAACATAGAAATAGAAGATAATATCTTCAAAAACGCAAATAGTCGACTCGTCCCCAACCCTAGTTTTCTTCGACTTCTACCCAATTTTTTTTCCTTTTGCATGAATTGTGGCATTATTGTAATTTTGACCTGGAAACCATAGTTATTGGGCTTGATAGAGATGAAGCCCAGTAGGAAATATATAAAAATGGGCTGTAATGGGCTAAGTCTGTCACAATAAGAAATTAAAAATTAAAAAAACAATAAGAAGAAAAAAGCGGAAAGCGGCGACTGCGTCGGCAGTTCAGCAGACGCAGACGCAGACGCGGCCGCCAGGCCGTGCTGTGGCCCCTCCTCTATCGCCAATCGCCATGCTGACACGTGTCAATTATATATCGCTCGCACTCTCTTTTATTCATGCCTTGCGGCTTCAGTCACGTGCTGTGCTCCTCCATGTTTTTTTCTTTTCTTTTTTTTTTTCCGGTTTTGTATAATTAACATTTGACACCTGTTTTTTTGTTAGGTTATGAAAAAAAAAAAGACAAGATCCGGTATGTTTTTTTTTTTGTAACGGAGGAAACCACCACAACCCTTCGGTACGGAGTAAACCCACCGGTCTCACGTAATAGCCTGCAAACCACGTGAAATAACTATACTTTATTTATAATAAAAAAAAATTAACAATCATTTCCCTCTAATTGTATACATTTTGAAGAAAAAAACTTTACCAATGTTGTTTTATGAATTTTTTTACGAAATTGAAAATAAATTTTATTAAAGATTAAGGAAACAATAAAAAATAGATATTAAACTACAAGGGATCATATCGTTAAAAAAACTATTTAAAACAATTTGAACAGTTTATATTGCGCTCGATTGCGATGTGAGTTGAAGATTTCATTCCAAAAACAAAATTCATGTAATATATATATATATATATATATATATATATATATATATAGATTTACCGAAAAGTTCACATATATATATATATATATAATTGAGTGAAAGAGACATAACCTGAACCATATATAAGCACCCTTCCTAATCAATAGAAAACATTTATATATTGTTTCCGTCGAAAACAAGATCTATAGAAAAATAAAACGATTTGGACCTGCACATACACATAACAAAGTCTATGTATAGATAGATATTTGACTTTATTTTGTCTTAATTGCCTATATATATATATTAGGATTAGTAGCCATGCCTCATATATAAATATATATATGTGTGTGTATATGCGTTAATTAAGGCTATTAGAATAAATTATTATTAAGTTAAAGAATATATAGTTTTACACAAATCAAAAATCGGCCGACGGACATGAAGAGGTGTAAAGTACGTCTAAAGCAAAGTCTAAGCCGAAAAGGTTAAAAACCATAACGGCTGACGCTCAGTGCTTTCTGCCAAACCCTATTTTTCTTTCATTTACATCATTGAATCTCCCCCTATATATATATATATATATAGTTTCTATTTATTAATTATTATTCGACTCCTCATTAACCTAGGTTACCTATGTATTATTATTATTATTATTATTATTATTATTTAGACAGAGCCATAAATTTGGTATATTAGTGAAAAGGGGGAAAGGGAGAAGAGGAGGAGATATGCTTAGTAATAAAATCAGTACATATTCTCCATGTTATCATATAGTCAAAAGCTGTCCATATCCATCCAAATATCTAAAAGCAATGATTCGTACCGGTGAATATTAAAGATCGACCAATATATACACGCGTCCCATATATATATATATATGTATGTATATATATGAGAGGGCGATACATTCATGAATGATCTGTTGCTAATGTCCTTCATCGAGCTAGAAGAGTTCTTGGAGGGTTATATATATCTATATCTATATACATACACACACATACGTACATGAATCTACATAAATAAATATATTATTTACGTTAAGGAATACGTCAAGATATATATATATATATATATAGGCTCCATATGCTGTGCATGCATATACCTGTCACTGTCAGGGCCATAATATGTATAGTCTCCCAACATCTCCTCCATTTTTTCCGGTCCACCAATATATGCTTCCTGATATATATATATATATATATATATATATATATATATAATATTCGATGA